GTAGAAAAATGGGGGAGGGACACAGAAAGCACCATAGCTTGAAAGAGATAGGTTAAAACCCACAATTTAGGGAAGTCACTCCTTCCACTCTAATTCTTCCCCCCAAGTGCCTTTCTAAAGAAATGCAGCGGACTGACTGAGAAATCCAATGAGAGCAAAGAGAAGCTGTTGTACTCCTGCAGAGGGCCATGTCATAGCTTTGCCAGGAAACTGGGAATTTTCCATCAGCAGCTGGCAGACTGTCTGCTCTGTCTCACTGTGACTGCCAAGGGCAATAGGCTTGGGCAAGAACATATTTGAATAATATCAGGGTAAGCAGAAGGATAAGCAGGATGGTGTATGGCAGTGAATGTGAAAGTACACTTACAGCTAGTGCAGCAAAGAAGGAAAGAAAACTAACTGCTGTCAAGCATGGTACCAACTTGTGTTTAAAAGCTGCACTCTGAAAAGGTAACACTGCTGTCCTTGAACAGTATTCAGCATTCTCTATATACAATGCAAAAGAAGTCACGTATGAACAATTTTTAGAGGGAGAATCTACAAAAAAATCCATTCTAATAGTTCTTACCTGAGCGCAACTGCACAGGCTGTACAACCCTCTTGCCATTAACATAGGTTTCTGATCGTTCACAAGGCTCCAAAGTAACAATAACTATAAAGAAAACATTGCCAAATGAGACTTCAAAGAGAACTGTACAGAAAGAGAAGTGTGCGAACCCTAGAGGCTTATCTTCTGTCTATCTTCCTACTAACATTAAAAAAAAAAAAAAGATACAAGCGAATCACTTCTTGACACCATGCTGGTTAAAAAAAGAAATAAAGCCCCATGAGAAAATCAGTACTGCTGACATCTCCACACCGCAGTTGGAAATGATTATCATTTTTTCTGTTTGAATTTTCATGTTTACAGTTAACCAAGATCAGAACTTAACTCCCATACTGACCTCAGCCTGCAATTTGAAGCTATTATCACTTAAATAAATTTTATTTTCTTCCCCTAAGACTCAAGAAAACAAGTCAAAGCTCACGGTTTTCTTGAGGTAAGAGAAACTTTCAATCAAATACCACTATTCCCTGGCCAACTATCAAGTGAGGAGTGAAAGACTCAGCAACACTTTGCTAGGAGAAGTAGTTTTTTACCTTCACCATTGTTGTTCCTCTCACTTCGAAAGATACAGTGTTCTTCTTTGATATGTGCCCCACTCAATACAATGTCTTGCCTTCGCTCAGCATCAGCTTGGCCAACCCTGGGTCCAACATAAGATATTTCAAGAGCAAATCAGACACATTCCACAACTCTGGGTAGGACAAAACATCCCAGAAATATCCAGGAAAGAAGCCTACATAATTAAGACTATCCCTCAAGTTTAAAGGTTTGAACAAGTGCTTAACTCTGTGTTGCAGAGAGCTTGCCAGATTTACCATGAACTTGAGGACAACAGCTTGACAAAACTGATGTTTTCTCTCTCTTAAAATACGTAGTTTAAAGAGCGTATTTAAATGTTAAACACCTCTGGATTCAACGTGTTTCCTTCCCTCTTCTGTACCCCCTTCTCCCTTTAGCAAAGGAATGCAGAAGGGAAAAAAAAAGTGACAGGAACTTCCAGTGGTGCATTTCAGCTAGCAAACTGTGATCATCCTCTTACAATAATCACCATCTGCACTTTAACAAAAAAGCAGAAACAGCTCAGGAGACTCTTGCTGAAAAATCTGATGCCACAAGCAACTTCATTCAGCTTCCAGACAGTGAGAGGCTGGCTGTGTCCCTGGAATATGAAGATTTATGTCCATTCCAAACTCAAATATTTGAGCAATTCTAGATACGGACAACTTCATTTTCAATCCTAAGGCTTATGAACTTCTTGCTCTACTTATAACTCTATACATTTCTGATGTCAGCTAGCAAGGCTCAAAAGTTATAACGATTTCTTATGCCCTAAAGTATTCTCATAATTCTGTGCTGAATCTCTAGAAGTCTGATATTCTTTTCAGCAGGTCTGATACATATTAGATTAGTACCGTACAACAGGACCTGGTTGTGTATACGTCTTCATTTGTTCCCCAGGAATATACAAACTAAGCAACAAAACACAGTTTAGTGCTCCAAAGATAACAAAATCTATCTCTTCTTCCAGATGACTGGACAACAAGTTTTGGAATAAAATCTGTCTTAAATTCCAAATCTGGCAATTAATCTCATATATGTGAATGCAGAATATATTAATTGTGCAGAGGCATGGATAACTTTATTTAAACAACAAAGTGAACACTCATCCATATTCCGGTTGCTTTTATCAAGTGCTGAAGTTTTCAATCCTCCACCCATCAAAATCTCAAAGGCATTTCCAGTAAGTTTTATTAGTTTTGTTTTCCTATATCTTACAAAGGATATCATGCTTTCTTTTAATGCCCAGGTATAGTAATGAACTTTTTATAAAGCTGAGTGCGTGCCCATGTTACTTTTAATGCACAACATCAACTTAAAAGAAAATGCATTTCTGTACTTTTTCCACCTACAGCAATCTCATGCTTCGTTTGTACCTGCAAGGTGAATAGCTCAAGGCATTATTATTTACAGTGTCTCCAGCACGGAGATTTAGGCAAGCAAAGAGTCAGACTTCAGAGCATATTAGCACCAATCCTCACCTAGTAATCCCATCTTTGATGTAGTAAAGCAGACATTCAGACATGAGTGGATCTTCATTAAGGTTTACAAGATGAGGAGTCTGAAAGAAAAAAAAGAAAAGTTAATTAAAAATTGAGGACCTACTTTCAGGCTTCTTCCCACAGCTGTGGAGGATGTATATTAATCCAGCAGCCTTGCTATGTATATCAAGGTCATTCCATAATGCATTTTTTAAAATACAGCCTCTTGCTGTACTGGAGAGCATTGCAAAGTAACAGCAGAAATACCCCTCAGACTGCTTAGTTATCTGAATTATCAATCAATAGAGAGAATAAAGGCTTCAGCTGGGAAAAAGATTCCTTGTAAAGTCTCTGTAAACTTTTATAAGGGAAGTCCAACAGCAGAAAAGGTTGCTTCAGTAAAATTTTGAAACTGATGTGGAATCAACTTTGGCTTTTCTTGGGCAATACAGGGCAGGTGATCATTTGGCAAAGTCTGTTAACATCAAAAGAAAAATCTAAAACTACCAACATTCTCTGATACACGCAGCTAAAAACTCTTCATCTAAGGTTCTTCTAGATTTAAATCCACTACAGTTACTAAACCAACCTTCTTTGGTGAAAAAACCCCATTCGAATCAGCAAACAAGTCACAAGGCCTTGGTGTGAAAATCTAGCCAGTGAGATAGCAGTAAGCACAAGCACAAAAGAAAAGGCAAGAATGGTTAAACAGAATTAAAGAAGAAAGATGCTAGAAGAGAAATTCAACTGTTAGCAAGCCACTTGCCCTTTGGTTACACTGATACAGAATATATGTAGCAAAAGGAAATAAATTTGGCTAAGATTCCTTGGGAACATTGCTTCCATCAACTTATTCTAGCTGCAAAAAAGTTTACTTGAGAGAGATGTTAACAGCACTCAGTTTAGAGAAGCTCAAGAATTCCTGGATGTTCACAGTGAAATTTGTCTTCGAATGAAGAAGTCTGATGTCAATTGCCCAATGGAAGGCTTAACTATATAGACAGAAAGTGGGAAAAACCAAGACAACTTTTTCACCCCTAAAAATACAGGGGGGACCTAAAACCACAGCTGAAGATACGCCATGCCATCACCACTATTCACTGCATTCAAATCAACATTTGAAACTGTATAAAGCTCTTAAATCAAGAGAAAGCTGGAGAGAAACCTAATCTCAGACATAGTCAACTGCTGTAACACCACTTGGACACTTTGAGAGTAATGCTGTGCTCTGTAACACACACGTTGTGGCATCTGAGTTAATTTACTACACTAAATCAAAGTTGCCTTTCACAGGCAACAGAGAGCTTTGTAAGAAATAAAAGCCCAACAACTTGAAAGATGACGCTAGCAAAACCAACTATTCACTCATTCTGAGATCTATTATTCGTGCACAGACAGGTATGTCTTGAACTTGCTCCTATACAGCATTCCTCAGCACGAGCTGAAGGGTTCTCTCTGCTCCCATCTCTGATGACGGCACAAGCAGTTAAATTTCCACAATCCATTTCATGAAGTTTCCTGCCATCAAAGGCACAACCAGTAGATACAGTAATGATTGCTCACTGTGATACCTTTTAATTCATGAAGTTGGCAAAATTTACCTTACAAAGTTCAATTTACAGCTCAGTTGGTAAAAACACTGTCCTTGTAGCATATGCTTAGAAGTGTAAAGTCTTCATAAAAAACTTCAGGTTTGCTATCTACATCTAAATTTTGACAACAGCAGACACAATTACTAGAAGGAGAACTAATGAAACTGAAGTGCAAGGATAGCAAGGAATAGAGGCAGACAGGACTAGGTCAGGAGTTCTACTTCTCCTAATCAATCCTATATGGGTAAAAATAAATACTACCTATTACCAAAGCAACTACTGAATCCAGATGGCATTTATACACAAACCTGATCAGCTGAAAATGCATCAAAAGAGTCATCAAAAAGAGTTGAGGGCCTCTGAGGGAAAATCTAAAAGGAGATGAGGATCCATATCATAAGAGAAAGAAATGTAAAGAATACTCAACGAACTAGCGTCTTTACGAACCTTTAGGCACTTCTGGAGTAGATACCAAAAGCAAACCACAGTTCTACCTACTCCAAACATAACAGTCTAACACTACTTTAAGTGAAGGACTGAACATTTTAACCAATTCTGCTGTCCTATAGTTCTGTACAATGCCTCTAGATAGGTCCCTGTTTAACCTAGATCAGCACTTGCACATGCAAGTTTCAGGCTAAAATACTACCCTGTGCTCCGTGTTCAAAGATTTCCGAGATAGAAGAATGCAATTTCTTTTCCTGGTACTTCTTCAATAATTCCACTTCAACTGTGTAGATAACTTCTTTACTAACTTAATCATTTTCTATTTACAGCACTGATTTATGTCCTTTTCTGCACAGTTCTGCTTCTTTCAAATTTCAGAAAATTGAATTAGTGACATGTACCAAAAGAAATATTCTCCTGCATCCCCTATATTCAGTCATTCATTACATTACGATCCCTTTTTCCAAGGGGAAAAAGGATTAACAACAAATTCAAGGGAGAGCACCTAAACAAGACTTCAAACTTCTCTGGGTATCTCAAAGAATAGGTAGAGTGTATGAAGGTCACACAGTGACTGCAGAAAATGGCAACCACCACCTAAGAGGCAGCATTTCTGAGTTGCTACCGAAATCAACAGATACGCAAGGAGCTGCAAACACTTCTCCTTGCAGCACAGATTTTTCTAAAGGAAGGTACAAAGAAGTTAAACCATTTTTTGGTATCATTAGTCTCCCCATGAACTGTTCACACTGCTCCTATTTCATCGTTGTACTAGGCTGGCACATGCTTCCCTACTTTAACGAGCAATGGAAGCTACCACAGGTGATTCTTCCTGCAGCTCTCTAAAAGCATTAAGTACTATGGTGCATCACCTGTGTGAAGAGCAGTGTCCAACTTCATTATGATGGGTAAAATAATACTCAGATGTAGAGTGTTTTGATAAATTCTAATACTAAAGCTATTTCCAAAAAGATATTGTAAAAGGAACTTGCTACTAAGAGTCCAAACCTCACTTACATTCTTCTGTATCTTACATGAATACAAGCCCTTGTGTGAACGGTAGCTCCCTCCTCACCCTGACCTCCCAGGCTGATCAGCCCTTTGGAAACATGATGCAATAGTTATCAATTTTCTCTACCTTTTTAGGTGAGAAGACTCCCAGTGTTCCTCCATCTTCCCGAATGGCAACTCCCATTTCCGCCAACAATGCCTCCCTGAGAAAGAAAATTAAGATATTTACCAATTTTTGGTTTCTTAAACAAAATAAGGTTCAGTGAAAGTCATGTAACAAAATAAATAAGATATTCAACGAGCCTGGCCACTGACCATACAGCCAGGACTGCCACCACCTCATAACACAACAGGGTAAATTTCTAAACTTTAGTCCTAGAATTTATAGGCTTGTAGAATAGCAACAGCAAAAATTCTACAGCGATTTAACAGCATTTTAGTTCAATAGTGATCACAAAACAAGTACGTTTTAGGACATGACATTCATTGCTTCTTTAAGGAAGGTTAAAATGTAAATATTTCATTTAGGTAAAAGGAGCTACCAACTATTCATTAATTTACAAATACATAACTGGCTCTTCCTGATCTAATAGAGAAAGTACTCTCTCCTTCTTAAGACACAAAAAGGATTGTATTGGGTCAAACTGTTCATGTAACACACTCTTCTTGGCTTGAACAAAGCACATCAGTGACACCAACACAGAACAAGAACATGGCAAACACCGGTATTTTCCACAAAGTACTCTCCCAGTCTCCCAAATTCTCCCTAAGGAATTTCCAGAATTAATAGTGGCATTTCTTTTAAACAACTACCCAAAGTGGTTTTGTTGTTGTTTTTTTGAGATTATCTTTTTTTTTTTAATTCAACTCCTACCATCAACATCATGCAGTAAAGACTTCCACAGCTACCTATGTATTGTGAGACCTTCCCATTTGTTTCAAGTCACCTGTTAGCTGCCTTCAAGTCCCTTAGCTCTATCAGTAAATAATCAATCTGTATTTACTTTCTTCATATATCTCTCATGATTTTAGGGACTGCTCATTCACATTGTTTCCAAGCAAAAATGTTCCCCTTACAGACTTTGTAAGCTTTTAATATTTTAATAAGTAATAGTCTGTTTGGTTGCACCCACTTTCTGACGACTATCAGGCATCTGTCACAGTTCAAACCAAAGCTAGAAAGCTGGAGCTGTTTCATAATTTTAGATACTCCAGTACTAAAAACTTAATCTTCTCTGATTTACTTTAGGGCCAGAATTTTTGGAATGTAAGAGAATGGTGGAAGGAGGAAGAAAGAGACCAGGACTCCATGCTGCTTCACAGCAGAAGCTAACGTAGCAGCTTCGGATGTTACCTGAATTTCAATGCTAAAAAATAACTGTATGAACACAAAGGTCAGAAGAATTATCACTAAGTGCTGTTCTGCTGGTCCATTGTTTTTGAACAGAGCAAAAGTCTCCATTTTCCACGCTTCTCTGTTTTCTAGAGACCATCCGTATCTACAGCACTTCTGATCGCTGACCTTTCCATCCTAATGGCCTCCGTCTTCCTCAGCTTCTCTTCCCATGTTTCATTCAGCTCTGCAATGATCTTCTCAGATTCCTGTGTGAAAATCCCAGAAGCTGTTTTACAACTCTTCTCAAAGTTCTTTACATAATACATAACGCAATTAAAAGTTTGTGCTCAGTTCTAGACCTCAAATTAATTTTGGTTATAACAAGTACTCTCAGCACTTCAAAACTCTAAGTTGTCTTCCTTAATTTCTAAAAGGGTAAATAGCTTTGAAGGCAAGCTGAGAAGAAAAGATGATTTTGTAATCTAACCACAATCAGACTTTAATTTGAACCACCTATTTTTTTTTTCCTTTTTCCTTTTTTTTTTTTTAATTTGATCTACAGACATCATTCAGTAACTGGATGCCAAGGAACTGCAGAGACCACACCATTATTTCCATGGCAACAGCTGGTTTCTAACAGGAAAGCGATATGCAGCGTGTGTTCCAGCCCATTCCAATCCCTGTGGCAGTGTCTCACGGACAAGACATGAGAATGAAGCACAGATTCAACACAGCCAGCTCTCCCCACTCATCCACCCATGGAGATTGGGGGGGCTTTCATAAAAATTAAGAAACACTTCACTGTAATGCACTTTTGATGCTGTTCAAGCCTACACAGAATTGGGACAAGGCTGCTATTGTCTGGATAAAGCATGCTATTTTGTGTGCTTCACATTTTAATCTGTGGGGGCTGGGTGAATACAACAGTGGCAAGATTATTCTTCCTCCTTTTTTCAACTTTGGGGTAATTTGGTTTTCTGAACGCTGAGTGCATTTGCTAGTCAGACTTTGTCCACACTAGCGCTGACCAGGCCTCCTGAAGCCCATACCAATGACCAAATTTTCCATAATTACCACTGCATCAGAGGATCTGCAAACAAGAATCAAGATTGTAATTTATAATTTAGTTGCAGCTCCAGGCTACCATTAAACATAAATAATCCTAAGTGGACAGGCTGTGCATGAACCCAGTCTCTAGCCCACTGCAGTTAAGTGCCCTTTTTAAGGTGCAAGTGGGTTTCAGACAACTTCCTACAGAACCAGTATCATACTGGCTGTATTTCTGAAGGAAAGTTCTCTTGAGTTCACTGCTATTTAAGCCTTGGAAAAGATCAAAATAATAGCTTCCTTAATCTACAGAGATACCAACCTTCAAACGTTCAATTGCCTCTTCTCCTCCAGGCGTTGACATGATTCTTTCCTGTATACTGGACACAGACGTTAAGCCCACCTGACTACTGAGAGAGCAGGAGGATGGAGATGCAGTGAGGGACCCCATGGAGGCTGTGGAAAAATTGCCAGGACGTTGATTCTCGGAGGCTAGCAAGTATCTATGTTTATTGTTCTGAAAATCTTTCAAATCTGGGAGAGAGACACACAGACAGAGGGAAGGCAGAAAGATGGGAAAAAGGAAAATAGGAAGAGGGAAGGAACAGGAAAAAGGAAAGGAAGGAAATACCAGTGTAAGAGGAAAGCATTTAAGCAGCAACAAGACAAGTTTTGTAATTTTTAGATGGCAGTTCTGAAACAAATCTTTTAATATTAGCATCCATGACATAGAGATAACTCAGTTCAGACCCTGAGGACTATTAGTAAGGACTGCATCATAAACCATTTTCATCAAAAAAGCTTGAAAAAATAAATTACTTGCCAAAAAAACCCCCATCCTATTTCTTAACTGAACACTAAACTGAGCACCATGGAGCCCAGAGCAGGAGCATATTCAGTTCCTGATGAGATTAGTGACATGCTGGGCTGATGCCTAAATAAACATCAACACCTTAAACTCAACGTAACACTCTGTTCCAGACATCTTTAATCTAAAATGATGATTAAGTAATTCTTTATCACAGAAGTGATTCTGCTGCTGAACTGCCCAGATCACAAGGACAAAGAACTACCCCTTCTTAAGTTCTCACAGGAGAGTGAGTCTGTAAATCACCCGTCCATCCACGACAGGGGGATGAGAACAGAGTTCACAACAACATCCTTATGTTTCCTCTTGACCCTCCATAACTGAAAAATGTAAATCTAAGCTACCTGATCAGTGAAATATCAGATTATAAGGCTCTCATACTTCAGAAGGTGCTTTAAAGCTTTTTGGACTTAGTTTAGATGAGGAAGGCCTTCAAAACCCCCAAAATTTAATAAGGCAGCTTGTGCAGCCTGAAAAGCTGGAGGCCTGAAAGATACCTCCTTGAAAGACTGAAAACAAAGGAAAAAAGTGCATGTATGATTTAAGAATGAATATCCAAATGCACTTTATTTGAATCTAACTAATTTTAATCTACCTTAGCATCTCAGATACGTCTGTTACCCGTATCTCAGAATAATTGAACATCAAAGAAAAAAAAGTCTTCTAATATGGAAATATCAGACTATTAAATATCTCACTTTTAATAATTTTCATAGTTTTAAATTATAGTTCAAAAACAAATCCTTTAAAATAAGTATCCTTAGGAAAGAAACAGGTCAAATCAGACCCTGCAAGTTACAAAAAAGGGCTTCACACTTACAAAAATGAGGTGGTCATCCAGACACTGCATAAAATTTCCATGTCCTCCTACATCTCCTCTACTCCTATCCTGAACAATTCTGCTATTGTCAGCCTTAAGCCCTAGTTCTCTCCACATTTAACCTGCTGTTTCAGCCTCACAAAACTGATCAAGTCAGTTTGAAAACCACCATCTGCAAATACAGGAAGCAGGGGTGGAAGTTTAACAGAAGAAAGGCAGGTTAAGGAAAGGGAATGCCATCAGGATGAGGAAAGCAGGCACGACAGAGCAGGGAGGATGAAGTCTCAAAAGGCCAGTACACACATGCACTCCTGAAGACAAAGGAAGTGGCGCTTTCAGTAGCTTTCACAGTTGCTGTGACCAGAGACTCAAAACCCTTAACATCATGCACGCTTCTCCTGGAGGCTGCAGCTTTCACACGGATGACATATGCACATGCTGGAAGCAGCATCAGAACTTAAGACAAGGCCAGGATGAGTCTTTACACCACCAGTAGCTTTAATTTTAGGAAATTTCAGACAGATCTCTTCTAGTTGGTATTGTTTGACTGAGGGTGAAGATCACTGACTGAAAGAGTTTATAAAGTCTACCAACCCAAAATGTACTTACAATACATTTCTCTTGCAATGGACTACGTATATTTCCCTTTCATAGAAGCAATCAGTAGAACAGAAATAAAATGCTAGTTGATGACTGTTTTTAACCCTATTAAGTTAATCATCTACAACCAAGTATTTGAGCTCGAATGATAGAGCTTCATCAGTATAGGACATCTGGTTTGGTTTTTTGTTTTTTTTTTTAAAAAGAGGCTATACAAAATAAATACATCTCAGTGTCCAGGAGGAACTGATAACATTTTGTCTTGAATTTATCAATTGACACATTTAAAACAAATACTTCTAGGTGGAAAAGAGATGTTAAAAGGCCAGGAAGCTAGGTGAGCAGAAGCTGTTCCAACTGAGTAACTTGAGAAAGAGTTGAGAAAAAGATTTTCTAGTTTGAATCTAAACTGCTGGCTGTCATTAAAAGAGACTAAAGAATTACCACTCTCCCCTTCTATATTCTGCCAGAAAGAAAGCCATGCACATATGTTGCATTTTGAACTTCTTTTTGACTGTCAACTCAATCTAAGAAATGCTCGTTAAGCTAGTTTCCATGAAACTGTACTGCATTCCACAGCGAGTGTTCTGTCTGGGATTTCCCTGTGAGAAATGCTGGCATGCAAAGCTCAGTTAAAAGCTGACCCAGAGAAAGCAGGTTAAAAAGAGAACCACACAATACACACATTTGCCTCCACTTCCAGAGTATTCATCTCCCATTGGATCAACTGAAAGGAAGCAGGAGGGAAAATACAAGAAGGATCAAAATTGGAGGTTCACCAGTGACACAGGAAGGGAAGAGAATACTACTTGATGTTTAAAGAAACAAAATACAATTTTCAGTAACACTTAGTTTTTTGTTTTGATCTAGAACCAAGGATCACAGACTGTACCAAGCATGAAAACACCTGCATTGTCTTCTGGCCCCATTCTCTTGAAAACAAGCAAACAAAAAAGGTAAATACATGTTACAAATCTTTGTAAGCAGTCTGTGACTCAGTCAAGAGTTCCATTTCACAGGCAAATAAGCTCTAATAAATCAGAAACCAGTGCAACTTTTTTTTTTTCAAGTCAAAGAATCTTTTAATCCACTGGAATACATTCTGTGGTTTTATGGGTACCTCCTTCACTAGGAAATAAATCACTGTTCATATTATAAAAGAATGTAGCAACTAAAATTTTAGTTTATTTGCCTTGTTTGGAATGAAGACAAGGAAATAATTCAGGCACAAGTTTGTTCTGGTGCTTTAAGAGGTTGCTGGCAAAGCAAACCAGTATAATACTGCTCTGCCAACCTCACTCAAAATCTCGCCCCAAAAGAATTCATTACTTATTCACAAGCAGCGGTTTCATAGCTAGTTATTTTGAGATGACAAATGGTTTGTCACTCAGGGCATTGTAACAGGAATTAGCCACCATTTTCTTTTCTGAGCAAGGATGGCATTGAAGCCAGGTATCAAGTAATAATCTTAACCTTTTAAGGAGGAAGAAATGATACTTTCTTTCTCAGTATGAAATTCGGTTTCTGTACCTCAACTATCCTCCTTTACTGGCAGCCAGACAAAAAGCCCTCCATAACTCACCAGGGCAACTCTTCAATGTGTAAGTTCTACTACAAAAAATCATTTCTACAGCAATAGAAAACTCAGTCTCCACATTTTTCCTTGCAAGTTTGAAGATGGTCTGTCGACTCTACAGGAAATCCTAGAAAAGGTTTTTTAAAGACAGAAGAGGCTACCATTTCTAAAACCATGTTCAAAATTTAGCATCAGCACCTACATTTAACTTCCATGTTTTAAACCCCTTTCTCTCACAGGCCCAGCTCTCCCTCCTCTTTAAGGGAGACCAACCTCAAGACAGCACGATCTGTTTAATCCACTTACTGTCAATAATATCTCCCAGCCCTTGGGCACGCAGGAGATCCTTAAGCCTTGTCACCTCCTCCTTCAGCTCACGCACCAACTTGGCATTGGGATCTTCATTAATAACAGCATTGCATTTAATCTGTTTTGCACGATCAGCGTATCTGGAACCAGACCAAAAAAACCCTTATAATGAACATAAGTGCTTGTCTGCAACACAGGAATGCAGCAATATAGGAGATATTTAGCTTGCAGCTGCATGTCAGAAGAGAATCCTAGATTATATTCAATCATGCTTTTGAATTCTTACTTAATCCAGGCTATTGCTGCAAAAAAGACAAACCCTGTTCAAGATGGATTTAACAAGGTCCATCATATGTACAAGAGACAACACAGTTTTTTTCTTTTTTTTTTTTTTTAATATTCCGTGCTTTGAAGCCTCAGCTTGACTAAGATGCTCAACCTTAGGGACCACACTGAAAAAGAACACACAAACACGAGAAGATGAACTTGACTTTTCAAGTTAAGAGCAGGCAATAAACCCCTAGCTCCCTGTTCACATATGATAGATTGGTTTTCCTGTTTCAGGGCAATTGAGTTCTTGCCACTGTAGAGTCCTCTTCCACACAGATTTTCTCAAAGTATAATAACCCACAGGTTTGAAGGATACCATGTGGCCATGAGAGCTAACAGGTACCCATATCTACCTCAGATAAAAAGTAAGTACCTTAAAGTGCTCAAAGTTTCATCATAGTTTATGTCTGCGGGACTCAAAGCAGCAACCATCGCAGTTCTGGAGTTACCACCTATAATGAACAGGCAAGATTTTAGATGAAACTACAGTGCACAATCTAGGCACTAATTACCTACTAAATATCAGTATTTTCAATAAATTATAGAATTCAATTATATTCTACATTGTTAAAGTTACAGCTCTTTCCTATGATTTTTGTATATTCCTTAATAAAGTGTGGAACACTACGACTCAGATTTGACTACTAAAAATATTTAACCTTATACTTGATAGAAATTTAAGTTGAGTCAAAAACAGTCAGAAAATTTAGTGATAATTTCTTTCCATATTGGCACAGGCAAATAAGCCATACCTAGATTTTCTCGAAGAAGCCATGTTAGTACAGAATCCCTGTATGGTATAAAGTCTGTCTTCTTCTTTTTTTTACTCTACAAAGAAAGAACACACTACTGAAAAATAGACATCAAATGGAAAATTCATGTTTAAGATATAAAAATCATAGTATAGGTATTAAAAGAACCATGAGAGCATACACATATCCTGAACAAAGGGGTTGTACAAGTGATTATTGAGTTTGATATTAGATAACATGCAATGCATTCAGACATCTAAACAGATGATAATAAACAGTCCAGAGAACTCCCTTGAAGCGCTACTTTCAGAAAGGTTTTTCTGTGTATGAAGGATATCTTTCTGACATTTAAATTCTATGTTCTAATACCATTCCAAGAGAATTTAAGCAGCAAACCTCACTTGTTCAGGGGAAGATTCAATTTTATTTTGCTAGAAAAGTTACAGCTTTTTAGAGCAGTCAAAAGTCCATGACAGGAAATTGCACAGCTACAGATACACATGCACATGTGAAAGGACAATTAGCCAATCTTCCTGTGTTTCTGTAAGCAGTTATTAGGTAACTTGAGGACAGAAAAGATGAAAGTACTTGGACACTGAAATTAGAAGTATGAGTTCAAAGGAGGTAGGTGGGGGGGGCGGGGGGAGGGAGGTGTTTTTATTTTAGTTTTAAAAAAAAAGACAAAAACTTTATATAGAGAGTACTTAAACTAAAGCACAAGGCCACAAGACAGGTGCCCAAGTATCCAAGTACTTTGTTTCAAAATCAGTAGTGACAAATGTAGAACTTCCACACAGCAGAAGAGGGCCTTCGCAGTGCCTCTAGCAGACTTGCCTACAAATTTCATTGTAAATGCTTTCCCTAGCTTCTTTATTTGGTCTAAAAAAAACCCAAAAGCTCTGTAACAGAACGAATCTTGGGGGAATTTCTCCAAGAAGACCTGAAATAAAAGATCCCTGCTCTTTGATTCCAAAGTGAAGAGAATGAAATCTCACACTCAGGCAAAAAAGACAACATCCACTACTACTCAGACCATCATACCTTGTTGGTGCAGTTATCCTAAGTTGAAAGCATTAAAGAAAGAGGAAGAAGATACAAGATGAGCTTCTTAACAGAGCTCCAGTATAACTTCCATGCTAGCTGTTGAGAACTCTCTTTTCAAAGGAACAGCAATAATTTACTTGTTTGTTTGTTGGTTTTTTTTTTAATAGCAGCTGAGTATAAAAGACAAAGTACTTTTCTAAACCTACAACATTATGTTTGGATCTACATATGCTCACTCAACACATTATTAGGTATTGCAATTGCAGAAAAAGACAGTAACAATCAGATTATTACACTGGTATTTCTAAAATTTTTACCAACAAGGCTGCAGTTAGTTTTCTAAAATTATTTTTTCAAATAAAAAGAAAATTACTGCTCTGCAGAACTGAAAGCTTGCTACGTGAACATGTCTTCTACACAAATGCAGGCTTCTTTTCCAAGGCTTCTTCAGAGCTAAATAAACCAATGCTTCAATCTATCAACAAATAAAAGATTCTGACAGCCTGCATGACATTCACTGAATACTACCAACACTATTCATCTATCAAAATACACACAGCTAATTTGGCTGAGAATGCTAGGGCAGGAACAGTGAATAATTCTGCTGTACTCCATGGTTTTTACTGTCTTGGTTTTACTAGCTATGGAAAGGTTGCTGCAGGTAAGCAAATACCGTACTTACCACTTCAGCCAATGCTGAAATAACTTTGCCCAGAGTTGTGAGGGACTTGTTTATATTTGCTCCTTCCTGAAAAACAGAATCCAGTATTATATAGTGATTAAAATCGTTCAATCATGAACCTCTACAGGCTAAGCAAGCCAAATGTCACATCGTGATCAGAGAAGGAAAAGAAAAAAAGTCTTCAGTTTTTCAGCTATTTTTTCCACACTTCTAATAGCAATCCTTTCCTTTCCTTATTATTTGTCAAGCAAGACTCCACGTGATGCTTGTGCACCCACTTCCCTTTCTTTCCCCATACATCAACAGCCCAATACCTTTAATCGGGTTCCTTTGGCACCAGTTGAATCAGCTCGCTCACTCCCAGCTAGATCCACAAGACTAATCTTGCTGACCTGAAAAGAGAAAGCACATTAATGAGAATTAGTTCTTGGTGAACTAGAGTAAGAACAAAACTTCACAGAATTCTATGGCATGAGAACAACTCTACTGTCTAAAAAAATCACCGTAGTGTGCTTAAAACTACAGTCGAAAAAAGCTTTCACAAGCAATTAGCTTGATGTTGTTATCTTACAGATAAGAAGTATGTAGGATTATGCTCTAAGTATCCCTCTACTCTAAATTACCAAAGAGAGAATGAGGTCTCACACGAACAGAGCACAACAGAAGCCAAAAGAAATTAAGTGTTACTGCTACAGACAACACAAGAATCTCAAAGGAAGAGAAATTTAACGTTTCATCCCGACTCCAGTGACACCAACAATCAAGCCCTGGTCTAACTAAAGCTACAGACTGCACGTCAATTAATGATAATTTTACAAGGTCTTCTTATCTGGGGTACAGGGATGAGATGTACATCTTCAGTACATAAATTTTTCCAGATCTGTCCACAGTAGTCAGAAATGTGAACTTTACCTGTATTTCAGCTACTTTTGCATGCAAAGTCCCTATTTCAGTGTAATAAAAGCCAGAAAACTGTTCCATGCTAAACAGTGTACCTTCTTTTAACATGCAAATTCCAGAAAGTGCCTAAGTCTCACTCATCCCTATTTCTGTGCCCAAAGAAAAGAACTAACGAGGCAAATATTTTGCACTGACAAGCAAAACCACAGAAAGTTCTGGGAACAAGACTGGGGAAGATTAACTTCTTTTATTTCTCATATCCCTCCCCACAGACTGTAGTCCTTAAGGCCATATTTTTCCCCACATCTATATATTCTCCTTGAGCACAGATTCCCCATTTAGTTGCTTTTAGAATTACAATCCAACAAAATCCCGTAAGAACTAAAAAGGCTCTGTCAAGGCACAAAGCAAGTTCGCCCTTAAACAAAACACCAGAAAAAATAATTAATTCTCATTTTCTCATCATACTGACAATACGAATAAGTCACCACAGGGAAGATTTGTGAAAAACAGTCAGAAAGCCACTTCTTATCTGTAACACACCTTCTCTGTGGAAAGGTCAGTTTCTGTGTCGTGTTTCTTCTGAGTAAAGACAATTGTAAACACAGCATGAGAGCGGCTGCTGGTTTCATTCATGTTGGTAGCTGCCACAGTCCTAAAATATGACCACACATAGACATGTTCAGAAAACAGTAGCCTCTATGCTGCAAGTACAACTACCTGCAGGGCTGAATGTGGCTGTAGAGGAATCAGACCAAGAGACTGTACAGTTGATGTTCTCCCCCGTGACCAAGACCAAGCCACATCGAATACCATTGACAAACCCTTAGATTTTTTTCCTCCTGAATCATTTCCATCTTCATCACAGTTTAAACAGAGCTTCCTCAAGCTGTGTACCCAATTATCTACCTTACACTCAAACACACAAGCAAACGCAAGTGGCATTTATGCCAGTCTTTCCCACGCATTGTTAAATGGAGTCTACAGCTGACATGAAAACAACTACTAATGAACCAGAATCTAAAGCTAGAATGCCAACTTTAGCCCTGACCACTTGAATAAATTAAAGAGGAGACTGTGTTTACATGTTTATTTATACCAATATAGTGCCTACACAACGAAGGCACAACTAAAAAGCCAGTATAATTATTTATATACTTAATTTCAAGTCATTAGAAGCTTTAAATATCTATACAGCAATTTGCAGCACTATTTCACTGCACAAACAAATTTTGGCCTTTTAATAGCATTGATCAGTGCATAGTTCAATAATACTCCTCACGTGACATGAGTTTTCTAGTAAGTGCCAATGCACCACAGAAGATAATTAAGTTTGCTGCTATATGCCATATATTCCCACAACAGATATAAAAATAGGTAACACACTACCATCACTAACCTGGCTTTGTTCCCAGCATCCATGAGGTCTGCAATGTCTGTGTAAGACGTGACTGCTAACTTGGACAGATCCTCCACATACGGCCCAAGCAGAGGATGTTCTCGCACTCGCAAATTCCCTTTGTTCTTCGGGTTCAACAAGTCTCTGACTCTCTCACAGTAAATCTCCATGTAACTCACCTAAAAACAGGAATTTGCATAGACAATTCAGTGTTTCTGAAGGCTTCCTGCGCAAGCAGCTCTGCAGCGTTTCAGAGTGCCACTGGTAGAAACTCCAGTTTGATGTCCAGCACACAGATACTCTTTGATCTCTCACCATACTCACCTCTACAGAATATGACATTTCTTCATTGCTGTTGTCATTGATTTTCTCAAACAGTTCTTCACATAGCTGGAAAGATGTTAAACCTGAGTCAGAAATTAGTCTTCACTGAGGAATAACAAGTAACTACTACAACACAGAATCATTAAGGTAGGAAAAGACCTCAAGGATCATCAAGTCCAACCGTCAACCCACACCACCTAACTCATTAAACATGATTACATCAACCACATACAGCCTCACCAGGAAAATCCTTCATCTCAATTCTACATCACTATCATTCAATCTTATTTCATAAAGTATCTCAACAATTGTTCTAGGTTTAACCAGTATTATTATTCTGTACAATAAAATTAGAAAAAGCCTATAATAACAGAAACTGGAATAATTTTAGAAATAAATTATTAAAATCCTTAATCCTCTTCTAGTTTCATAAAAATAATAGTCTGTTTATTCGGTGTGCTGAAGTTCCAGGACTCAGATTTAAATCAATAGGCAGAAATTATTTCAAAATTTGTTAACAGCATCTTCATACAAAGGATACGTTAACTATCAGAAACATACTGATTCAAGAGTGCTTGCCTACAAGTAACTGAAATGAGAGACCTAAAATTAAGATAACAAAAGCAAAACAAATGAACAGCGGGCAAGCCATGGATATGTATTTGGAGATTAAAAAGCATGGGTACAGAGAGGAATAAGAGTATAAAGAGGTTTCTGGAACAGGTATCTACAAGCCACTGTATGGAAAATAAACTGATTTTGAAGAATAAAGAATACAGGCAATTTTGAAAGTATACACCCTGAAATATTGAGTCAACACATGGTTAAAGTATCATAAAGTATAACGTTAGGGACTGGCAGGCAGGGAATTTTGCCAACACATAAGAATTTAATTTCAACAACCTATATTACTTGCAACATGATTGTTCTGTACCTTCTGCATATGTGACAAGAAAGAGAACAGATTCAACAAGGTCCCCCTGAACAGATAATCTATTTTGTACCTTTATGAGAAGGCCTCCCAGTGAAATCAGAGGGAAATAATTTGGTTTCAAAACTCTAGTAGATAACAGGAGCATTATTAAATCTACAGGAGCATTATTAAGTGGGGTTTTTTTAATGACAAAAACAAATAAGAATATCAAGATTAGAACAGAAGATTTTTAGCAAGAAGCTGTTGTCACAGATTTTCAGCTCATTTCACCTGCTATACTGTTACCTTATATTACTGTAATAAAACCAAAATGCTTAGATATAACAATTCTGTCATTCATGACATTAGCGCTTTCAACATTATTTTAAGCTAATCACCAGAACACTTGCTACCTATTTCAGTACATATGCCCACGCTATTAGCAGAGAACAGCGCTCTGTGTCACCTATTTCACACCCATGGCACAGGTCCAACATCTACTGCAAACCTGCAGCAGAAGGAAGACTCAAGCTGTTCAGCGTATTTATTCAAACTGAAACCCAACCTCAGACTTCTATTTTGGGAAAGGAGGAACATACTATCTTCCAATAAACTTGGTTCACTGTCAGTGCCTACACACTAAAGAAGGCCTGCACTTAGACCAAGTGCCACAGAACAAAAAGGTATAAAATGCTAAATTCATGACAAAGGCATAAATTGTTGACAGCCAAAATTTCCTCTGGGTGTATCTCAGCTTCTTCAAAATTCATGGCAAATGTCCAAAAAAAAATTTCAGGGGGGCGGGAAATAATACTGGGCTGTGCTCAGTTGCCCTAACTATTTTTTCACAGTGTTTTGACACACTTTATTTCTTACCAAGATACATTATTCAGCTTTTAGCTTTGGGAAACTTGTTTCCCCAAAAAATTTCTGGCATGTTCATCAGTATCACTTTGCATACAAAGTGCTTAAGTGCTGTCCTAGCTAAAGTCAGAGAAGGAGACAAGAAACCCAGTGAATAAGACATCTTCATTTCCTAGTTTGTTGGGGCAGTGGAGAAAGTGGATATAGGAAAAATACACAGTTTCTAGTATGATCAAAAAAAAAAAAGTAACAGAGGGAAAATTACTTCTAATGCTCCTTTTCCCCTGTAGATTTCTTTCACTTCGGAAGTAAGCTGCGGTTCTCTGTTAACTGTTATTGCAATACAAAAAGAGCTATTAAAAAACCAGTCCCCTTTCTGGGTTCTGTTCTACCTGGGGGATTATGCCTGCTTGGCTCTCCTCCTGCTTGCCCATCATTGTGTAGGATTTCCCAGCTCCAGTTTGTCCATAGGCAAAAATGCATACGTTGTAGCCCTCAAAGGCATGCAGCAACATCTCCTTTCCAATATCATTGTACACACGGTTCTGAGACGCAAAGCAGGGATCTTCAGGCTGAAAAGACATGAGCACAGCACACGTACAGTCTTATCCTGTCATTCAAGTAACATTTCAAAAAGCAACTGTTTTTTTTTCTGTCTTGTGGGCCAATCCCTTAGGAAGACGCAAATGTAGCACATTTTTACACGCAGCTTTTTCCCAAGGCAGTACCAGCAGGAGAAGGACAATGACAATCCTTCCAGGACCATTCCGTTGCTGAAGAGGAAATAATCTGCACAAAGAAACCAACCAATTCTGTTTTGTGAACATTGTTAACACTACTGAAAAAGTTTCACGACAGATCACTGACAAACCAGATTCAGGGTGTTTGGGAGAAGGGAGACAGGGGGGAGAAAATCAAAAGTAGCATTTGGAGAGTCAATACAAATGAATAAAGGGCTAGAAGCTACAAAATCCCACAGTGGCTGGTCTTGACAAGGGCTCTGAAGGGTAGCAGGGGGAAAAGAGAAGCACAAGTTGCTTAGGTTTACTTTGTTGGGACAAATCAGGACAAATTTAGCTCTGCTAACATTCTAACATTGGGTTCAAGGTTTTATCAGACCAGTCAAATGCTGCTTATCTGCTAGTTTTCAGGAATTATGTTTATATTGTTCCTCTGACTGATCCCATCATCTACTTGTATGGCTGCTCTGGAGGATTCAGTAAAAGAGCTGCACAAATCCAAGTTTTTCATCATGAAAACAGTCTTGTTGGCCACAGCTTTGCTCAGAAATATAAAGTCTTATTTGCAACATCCAAGTTACTAAAATTAATCTTAATGAAATGCATTAATCGCTTCTTTCTGTATCTTTTGAGAAAATAAGGCAGGGAGGGGTAGATGGCAGAACACCACAGTTCTGCTGTAGAACAATTACTGGAAGTCAGCAAGACCTCAGCACCAATTCGCAGGAGGGTGGGGCAGAGGAGCTGAGAGTTTATTGCTTTTGCAGCTACGGAAACACGGATCACTGCTCTGTCTTTTCCAGATATATCACGGGAACCCAGACCGCATCTCTCCTTGAATTATAAGAACTTGAGCAACTTTCACTTGTCTAAGAGCAAAACTGAATTAACTGGTGGTTCACATGTACCTTTAAAATACTTAGAACAGGACACTGTTGGAGAATATTTTAAGTAATCTCTCAAATATCCCCAACTTGTGATCAAACTCCAGGAGCATAGCCTTCTGCTCTCCCCCAAACAGGAAAAGACAACATACAATTAATTACAAGCTTTTAACCTGGATAAGGGTGAGAGAGACAGTGCAGAAGAAACATGTGACTGGCATGATCAGAAGAGAATGCAGTTAAATCAGGACAGTCAACCAAAAAAAAAAAAAAGGTTTACTTGTAAAAGAACTTACCGAAGTGTGGGACCAATAAGAGTAGTCAAAGCTGAAGGACTTTGGTGCTTCCTTAGGATTCTTTGGGTTGATAATACCTACAGGAAATAAAATTCAAACTCTTAGCTATTTTGTCAGTTAGGAGCATGATTAATGAGCTTGCTGACCCTCAACTTAATCTGTGAATCTGAGTGTTCACAGAATTGCCACACTGCATGGAAGTAATAAGATTGAAGTAACAGACTCACAGCTTCCTAACACTGTATTTCTGTAGGCCTTACTTGAAATAAGTTAAGGGAAAAAATTCCTAGAAGGAATGCTCCTGCTAAATAAAATTCTTATGTCGGACAGAAAGCCAGAAGTAGGTCATCCTGGTCCCTTGGCTTGCAGAATGGGACAGGCGCTTGGGAGCTGAGGGGTATTAGCGAGAAGGAATATCCAAAACACAGAGTTTGAGAATCCCTGGTGATTTCATAGCAGCACAACTCAAGCCTATTCTGAAATACATGTTACACAGTACAAGAGCTCATTGCACAAGCATTTTCTTTAAGAAGACCAGTATTTTCAGGACATTGAAGAAGAGATGAAAAAAGAGGGATCTACAGACATTTCAGGGGTTATCTGCACAGTTTATTTCAATGTTCTTTTACATGCACAAAGCCGACAGATTTTTAATAGGACTGACATTAATTCAACCAACTAAATTACTGGTAAATGTTCTTACTGTACACAGCGACTGAATCCCACAGTGACCCCCAACCAACTTGTGTACTTCTTCCTCTTTGGAACTTCCATATAATATACAACGGCCCTATGTTGAAGTTCGTACACACGCACACAAAAAAAAGTCAGAATGAAAAAATGCTTGTGTGTAGTCCCTGTGTAACAGCTTTTATAAGTCCCGTTCAAAAAGATGACCTTCAATTGCCTTTTCAGCTCTTGGAATCCTTGACTTAGTTTTCTCTCCAATATGTATTCATGTATAAGAATCTAAGAATCCTTAGGTAAGTTAAGTCACTGAACATTTTACAAATAGCAAAATAAACATACTTTGCAGAAAAACACATTTTCTCTTCCTATCAGTACATCTGTAAATTTTATGCTATTTTTTTCTCAGATCCTCTAATTCTTTCAATATTTGACCCACACATGTGCATTCCCCACAATTAATTAAAGCTCTTCCAGATACCATTTAGGTTGCTGGGTTTAGGTTTTTTTTTTCCTTTCCCAGCAAGAAAACAGCTTCCTGTAACCTTTGCCGAGGGGGGTGTAACACACAATGGACTCAGCTGTCATGTTAATGGCATACAGAATGTCTGTAGCTTCTGTATTCCAAGGAGGATAATTTATAAGCACCATTCTTGCTGCCGAAGTGTATCTCTACTGCTTTCTTCTTTTCAGTACTACAGTGCTGGAAATACTCAAATATATTATTTCCAGCAGCTGTTTTCAACATCATCTGTGTAAGTAAGGATTCTGAAAAGGCATACTCTGGAGGGTATCAAAATTAGATAAACCACCTCAGATTTACACATACCCACCTGCACCTAAGGCAGCAATCTGCCTTTGGAAGCAATACACTAATTATGACACCTGCAAACAAAATCTACAAAGAAATAAGTTATACAAGGGGGATGACACTCTTCCTGGGGATGATTTACATCCTGATACCAGTCATCCTAAACAAAGGATGCTGATTTCTCACATCTTCTTGCCAGTTAGGCTACGCTTTGGGAGATGGGGTCTTCCCCCTTTCCTTCTCTGATAAATAACAAATACAACACCCACATCTCTTACCATTTCAAACATCGTGTGGCACTGAAATTCCTGAAAATGTGGTTACAGAATCCCCATTAAAATTAAATCACTCCTCTACCAGATGCCATGTCCCTGAGCATGGCTGTTGTCCAAAATTACGGTGTGGAGAAAAAGATCCCTGTCTGGATTGCAAATAGCAACAGTTGCTACTCTGTTTCTTGTGGCCAACTCCGTTTCACTTGGATGCACCTCGTGCTGAGATTCCTGCCTTATAAAAGCAGACAGACATGCAAAGCCAATGAATAATATGCCGTGCACCAGTACAGTATCAAATGGCAAAAATGCTTGTGGCTTTGGATAGCAACATGGGCATCAACACATAACAGACTGGTAACCTAAGCAATCATACATGGCTTTACTTTCCCTTTACTAGCTTTGACCAAACAGCAATACATCTACAGCACACAGTATTAAACCAGTCCTAAAATTAAAGTGAACAAGTAACAAATCCCAGAAGACAACTCCCCTGCCCCAAACAGGGGTTTCAATCAGTTCTTTCCTTTCAGCGTGTTCCACACTGATACAATTCACCAACTCCTCATTTCTCATTCAATTATTTAACATCAAAGCTCTGAAAGGTAAGAAAGAAGAAATGCCTTGTACCCAGAAGCTCCTACCCAAAAAAGCAGTACAAATAAAAACCAATCTCCATATTAGCTCAATGTAACAATCTTTGGGGGTGAACAACATTATTTTCTTCAATTGTTTTGGGCTGTAAGCTCAAGGGAAAGTAATCTAATCACTAAAAGCAGAAAAAAGCAGCAATAAATAGAACCCATTCCTATGTACTAGAACCTATTCTTATGTAACACAATTCTAAGCAGATACATGAAAAAAATTGTACTGCCAGCACCTCTCCTGACAATATACATTCTGTTGCTTAATCTCAACAGCAATCATTTTAACCCAAACTGTTGACGCTACTCTTGTGACA